ATGTGTGGGTGCACATTTGTGTGCAGGTGTAGGTGTGCATGCACATGTGAGCGCATGTATGTAGAGGCCAAATGCTGGCGTCAGGTGTCTTCCTCAGTCATTTTCTGTCTTACACATTAACACAGAAGCTCTCCTCTGAACCCACCGTGTAGGCATAAGTTTTTCTGGTCCCACCCAGCCCCCCCCCCCCCATCCAGACAAATCTCTCTAACCCGTGGTCCTGTAGCCGCTTATAAAGTAATCACTCAGAGGCTTAATATTAGTTACAAACTGTATGGTCAATGGCTTAAGTTTCTTGCTAGCTAGCTATTGTATCTTAAATGAACCCATTTCTATTAATCTATGTTTCCGTGGCTTTACTGGTCTGCTGGCATGTTGCTCCTTGGGCAGCAGGCTGGCGTCTCCTTTGCCTTTCTTCTTCCTGTCTCTCTCTTGGATTTCCTGCCTGGCTATAACCTGACTCGCCATAGGCCACAGCAGCTTCTTTATTAACCAGTTGTAGCAACACATATTCACAGCCTACAGAAAGATATCCCACAGCACCAGCATGTGCTGGTTTGTTGAGTTTAGCTAGCCACCTTGCTCTAAAGATCCCCTGTTTATCTCCTGAGACTTGGGATTCCAAGGGGGTTGTCTCTTTTAAAAAATCTTATTTAATTAACATTTTTTCATTTATTTTACATACCGACCACAGTGTCCCCTTCCTCCTCTCCTCCCATTCCCTCCCCTACCTCCCATCTACCCCCTCCCCATCCACTCCTCCTCCATCTCCATTTAGAAAGGGGCAGGCCTCCCATGGGCTTGAACAAAGCATGGCACTTCAAGGTGAGGCAGGATCGAGCTCCTCCCCCTGCATAAAGGCTGGGCAAGGTAATCCAGCATGGAGAACAGGTTTCCAAAAGCCATCTAAGTGCCAGGGACAGGTCCTGATCTCACTGATAAGAGCCTTACAAAGAGACCAAGCTACACAACTGTCACACACATGCAGAGGGCCTAAGTCGGTCCCATGCAGCTTCCCGAACTGTTGGTCCAGAGTCCATGAGCTCATGAGCTCAGATTGTTGTCTCTGTGGGTTCCCCTGTCATGACCTTGACCTTCATGTCACATGCAATCCCTCCTCCCTCTTTTCAACTGGACTCCTGGATCTTGGTCCAGTGCTTGGCTGTGGGTCTCTGCATCTGCTTCCATCAGTTACTGGATGAAGGCTCTCTGATGACAGTTAGGATAGTCACCAATCTGATCACAGGAGAAGGCCAGCTCAGGCACCCTCTCCACTATTGCTGGGCATCCTTGTGGATTCTTGGGAATTTCCCTGGCACCAGGTTTCTCCCTAACCCTAAAATAGCCTCAAGGGGGCTGTCTTAGTCAGGGTTTCTTTTTTTTTCTTTTCTTTTCTTTCTTTCTTTCTTTTTTTTAATGCAGGGTTTTTCTGTATAGTTTTGGTGCCTGTCCTGGATCTCGCTCTGTAGACCAGGCTGGCCTCGAACTCACAGAGATCCGCCTGGCTCTGCCTCCCCAGTGCTGGGATTAAAGGCATACGCCACCGCCACCCGGCTTAGTCAGGGTTTCTATTGCTGTGAAGAGACACCATGACCACATCAACTCTTATAAAAGAAAAGCATTTCATTGGGGTGGCTTACATTTTCAGAGGTTTAGTCCATCATCATGGTGTGATATAGCGGCCTGCAGGCAGACATGGTGCTGGAGACGGAGCTGAGAGTCCTGCGTCTTGTGCAGGCAACAGGAAGTGGTCTCAGTGTCACCCTGAGAGAAGTTTGAGCAAGAGACCTCATAGCCCACCCCGACAGCGACCCACTTTCTCTAACAAGGCCACACCTCCCCCAACAAGGCCACACCTACTCTACCAAGGCCACACCTACTCTACAAGGCCACACCTCCTATTCGTGGCCTTTGGGGGCCATTTTCTTCCAAACCATCATAGGCGTTAGGTCCACCTAGAGTTTCCACGCGTGCCCTGTAGCAAGTGTTTACCCACTGAGCCGTCTCCTTCCCTTAAGTTCCCTACTTTAACTTGTATGAGTTCTTGGCACGTAGTTTCTGTTCTTAAGGCCATTGGCAGCTCTGAACTGTAAATACTGCGCGTCATCATGTCGTTCTGTAGTTTCTGTGCCCTTGATGTGACCTAGGGATTTACATGTAAGTGCATTCTGTTTACGCGGTTACTCAACACTATGGTAGAAAAGGGAACTGCTCTATAGCCAGGACTTACGGTGACATCTGTGTACTAAAAATGGGCTTTCATTGCTTCGCTTTTCGCGCTTTCCCAGGGTAAAGGTTTTCTCATTAGGTATAACGAGTCAGCTGTGTTCTGCGTGGGTAACCAGTAGCCTCAACTTCAGGTGAGCGTAAACACTGAAGGTGTGCCCCAAATAGCTGTGCGGCTGCCACTGGTCATTGTGGGTGGCAGGAAGAAGAGATGGCTTTTAAAGCTATTAAGAAACGATCCAAATGATTTCTACTGGCATCTCTTGGGCCGTCTCCAAGTTTCTCTGGGGTGGTTGTGGGATATGGGAACGTCTCTCAAGAAAGAATACTGAAAATGAATGAGCAGCATTTCCAGATACTCAGATTTGTTCACTCCTGTCTCAATCCACGGCTCCTGACGGAGACAGCCCCAGGGTATGTGTATTCAACCCTTTTTACTGCAATCTGGAACTCACATCACTTCTCTGCCAAATCCACTAAAGTTAGCCAGTGTACATCTGGTGAACTTACTTTTCAGCATTGTGCTGACTATTCTGTGTATTTGCTTTTCTATATAAACTTTAGAGTCTTTTGTCCTAAAGTTTAAAAAGTTTTTAAAATTACCTTTCATTTGTATCTGCTTGTGTGTATGCTCACATGTGTGTGCGCGTTGGTGTGTACACATGGGGTTGTGTGTGTGTGTGTGTGTGTGTGTGTACTTCAGCATGCTTGTGGAAGTCGGAGGACCACTTGTGGGAGTTAGTTCTCTCTTTCTTCCTTGTGGGTCCAGAGGATGGAACTCAAATTGTTAAGTATGGCTAAAAGTGCCTTTACCCTCTGTAGGGAGCACTAACCACTGAGCTTTTTCTCCGGCTCTAACAGTATCACTTGCTAATCAGAACACAGTGCTCTGGTTAGGTGGTTGTGGTTTTGGTTTTGTCAATGTGGCACACACTAGGGTCGTCAGAGAAGAAGGAACCTCAGTTAAGAAAATGCCACCATTAGATTGGCCTGTAGGCGAGCATGTGGGACATTTTCTTGACTGATGATTGATGTGGAAGGGCCCAGTCCCCTGGGGGAGATGCTGTTCCTGTATACTTTCATGTCACGTGTGTTGTACTGTCCCTTCTCTCTTAAGGCCCCACCCCTTTCAGTGGCCCCTGTCTAGCTTCCTGACCTCCACAAACACCCCAAGCGAAGTGTACAGATCTAAAAATTCAAAGCTAGGATAGTATTCTAGAGAGAACATGTGGCATTTATCTTTCTGGACCTCAGTATAATTTGTCTCCATCCCATCTATCTCCGTGCAAATTTCATTTTTCTGTACAGCTGAATAAATACCACTGTGTATATGCATCCCATTTTCATTGTCCACTCTTCCATTGATGGACATCTAGGCTGATTCCATTTCCTAGCCATTAGGCTAGAGAGCCATGGCCATAGATGAGCAAGTATCTCCGTAGTAGAATATGGCGCCCTCTGGGTTTATGCTGGGACATGTGGTCTTTTTGTAGCTGTTTGAGAAACCTCCACATTGACTTCCATAGTGGCTGTACCAGTTTACACTCCCACCGACAGTGAGTAGGTCCTTTCTCCACATGCTCATTATCATTTGTTTTCTTGATGATACCCATTCTGTGGTGAGATGGAGTCTCAAAGTATTAAATTTGCATCTCCTTCATGGCTAAGGGACATCGAACCATTTTAAAAGTATTTATTGGCCATTTGGAGTTCTTCTTTGGAGAACTGTTCAGATCCTTAGCCCACCTTGGGATGGGGTTGTTTGTCTTCTTTCTGTCCAGTCCTTTGTGCTATCAACTTGTGTTTCAGGAGCGGTTGACATTCGAGGATGTGTCATTGGTTTCTCCCCAGAGGAGCGGGAATGCCTAGACCCCGCTCGCTGGAATCTGTATAGGGATGTGATGTTGGAGAATTACAGGAACCTTGTCTCCCTGGGTGAGGATCTCTCCCCTACAGAATTCTTAACTCCTCGACATCTGATTTTCCTTCTCTGTAGGCTTGTCTCAGGGGCTTCTGGTTTATATGAAGGCAGTTGACATTCCTACGCATAAGAGAAATACTTAGGTGCTTGATGGTCTGGAGAAGATCATTTTAATTGTATTTATGTTGAAATCTCCTTTCTTGAGGAAGTGTTTCGTCTTCACTCTAGATCAGTGGTTCTCAACCTGTGGGTCTTGACCCCCAACAGGGGTCACAGATCAGATACCCCGCATAGCAGGCATTTGCATTCCAGTTCATAAAATTATAGTTATGAAGTAGCAACAAAAGTAGTTTTATGGTGTGTGTGTGTGTGGGGTCACCACCACATGAGGAACTGTATTAAAGGGTTGAAGCATTAGGAAGGTTGAGAACCAGTGTTGTAGATCAGTGGTAACGTCAGAAACTTGCTGGCATGAAGTGTGGTGGCTGTATCTTAGGGTCCATTTGCTTTGAGTTGGTCACGTGTGCAAGTGAAGCTTAGCATCTCCAAGTTGAAAATCCCTCACACATAATCTTTTTTTTTTTTTCCTCTGTGTAGCCCTGGCTGTCCTGGAACTCACTCTGTAGACCAGGCTGGCCTTGAACTCGGAGATTTGCCTGCCTCTGCCTCCCGAGTGCTAGGATGAAAGGTGTACACCTCCACCACCTGGCAGACATATTCTAATGTATATGACAGGGAATAATCAGAGAAATAATTTCCTCAAAACTTCTTTTATATCTCTTCTTTTCTCCCAGCAAGAAATGTTATTATGAGACTCTTAACTGAACATGTTCTCTATTTTGTAATTAAACAGGTCTTGCTGTGTGTAAACCTTACCTGGTCTCATTGCTGGAGCAGAGAAAGGCGCCTTGGAATGTGAAGAGACAAGAGTCAGGAACCATGTACCCAGGTAGGTAGGAATGACACAGGAAGAAGCCATGTTTTCAGATGTGGGTTGGGAATCCCTGTTTCAATGGAGATGATTTTTCAGGAGCCTCTGGAGCTGGACTTACAGATTGTTGTGAGCTACCTGCCATGTGGGTGCGCTGGGAACTGAACCCAGGTCCTCTGGAAGAGCTACACATGCTTGAAACTGTTGAACCACCTCTCCAGCCCCAGATGCATAACCTTTAAGTATACAAATAACAAAGTAAAGCAACAGTAATGTGAAACCTATCAACTGTTCCTATTTCTGTGGACTGGGAGCATCAGCTAATACACCATTGAACTATGTAGAGTCCATCAGAGTCATTCAAATAGATTTTTGTTTTATGTTCTCTCTAGGGTTTTATTTTTTATCTTTTCTGTTAGAAACACTTGCTCTTGTTTCTGTTTTGGACTCCTTGGGCTTGGGCTGGAGGGAAGTCTGGTTGAGAGCGAGTCCTACTTTCGCAGAGGACCCAAATTTAGTTCCCGATTTTCAGGTTGGGTGGCTCACAACTTCCCGTAATCCAGGGGTCCGTTGCCCCCTTCTGGCCTTTGCAGGCACTATACTCAATTTGCACATACCTTTACACAAACACATGTATACATTAAAAAAAAAATCTTTAAAAAAAGATTCTATTGTCTTCTCTTCTCTGGTTGACTGTCTGAAGTAATAGCATCTTGTGGATACTGTAATGATTATCAGGGTTAGGTATAGTCTTCCCATTCTGACATACTGTACAAAGTATACCTGTTATCTCATGCACTGTGGAGCAGGATATGCTGAAATGACCTATCAGGGAACCTTCAGACACTTGAAAAATGTATTCATTTGTTCTTTTCTTTTTCTCTCCAAGAGAGCAGAATGATGTGGGAAGTTGTTTTTGTCTTGGGGTGTCGGGAGAGTGCTGTTTTCAGAAAAGAAGAGTTGTGACTGACAAGGAAAGTAACAGGCTTTTCAGTGTATACCTGTGGGGAAATGGAGAGTTTTTTCTGTTTGCTGTTCTGCTGTCTGGAGGACATGTCTGTTTGGCCTGGTATTGAGGTTAGATTCAGAAATAATTCACCTTAGTGCAGTTCCTGGGGTGATCTGTTATTTTGATTTCTTGCAGGTGTTTCTTCTCATTATACCCTAGACTCTTCACAAGAGCAGGAAAAAAAAAACCCAGTTATTACAAAATATGATAGGGAGAAGATGCAGAAATTATGACCTTGACAATTTGCATTAAAGTAAGATGGGAATGTAGCAAGCCTTCAAATATCAACTAACCCTACTTGACACCAAATTTTTCACACTAGAGCCAAACCCTCCAAATGCCAAAAAATGTGGCAAAGGCTTCAATAATAGTTCAACTCTTAATTAACACCAGAGAGTTCATATAGAAGAGAAGCTCTACAAATATCAGTGAATGTGAAGGCTGTGAAGGCTGGAAAGCATTTTCCAGTCAGTCTGTGGCAACTGTGCGCAACAGAAAACCCATTGGCAACTGAGATCAATGACCTACAGCATCTTAGAAAAGAAATCACTGTTAAGAAACTGTATGATTGATTAAACGTCCACAGCATGGTTGGAAACAGTGTTCCTCTTAAATGAAATTTGGGGAATTCTTAAAATGCACCTGTTCCATGCTTTAATTAAGAACCTGAGGGGTTGGAGAGACGGCTCAGAGGTTAAGAGCACTGACTGCTCTTCCAGAGGTCCTGAGTTCAATTCCCAGCAACCACATGGTGGCTCACAACCATCTGTAACAAGATCTGATACCCTCTTCTGGCCTGCAGTCATGCATACTGTGTACATAATAAATAAATAAATCTTAAAAAAAAAAAGAACCCGAACAATTGAAATGTAACTGGACTGAACTTTGAGCCAAATATTCCCTTAGAAAAGAGACTTAAGAATGAAGAACACATTTTAAAGTGTGATTGTCTTTTAGGAGGACTCATTATTTTGTCCCCGGCAAATTTGTTTTCTCTGCACCAAAATACACAGCTTTTATGAATGTAGTAATTTGTTGTTGGTGGTGGTTTGTTGTTGTTTGTTTATTTGAGACAAGGCTTCACTGTGTAGCCCAGGCTATCCTGGCACTTGGTATGGAGCCCATGCTCACTTTGAACTTACCATGATCTTTCTGTTTCACCCTCCTGCATGCTGAGCTTACAGGTGTGAGTTAACCACCCGTCAATTCTTTTCTACGTCCAAATCCAGATACAGATACTTAGAGACTCTAGTATATGTGTATTGAAAATAGGAAGATCATTAATGAGGCTGGGAAATAACATATTGGAGAGACAATATTGTTAGTGTAATGAAATTTATAGCTTTAGCCATGATTAAAATTGTATGTCTTCTTTTCTCCCCAGAAAATCTCTGTGACTGTAATGACTCTGCAAAAGCCTTTGATCAGCACACAAAACTTACCATCCATCAGTGTGTGCATAGTGAAGAGAAGCCATTCAAACAGGAAGAATGTGGTAAAGCACTGATTGATGATTCGGCTTCTGATGGGCGTCACAGGGTGCATAAAGGAGATTTGCCCTACAAATGTAAAGATTGCGGCAAAGCCTTTAAATACCGCTCAATCCTCCACCAACACCGCATAATCCATACTGCTGCAAGACCCTATAAATGCCAAGAGTGTGGGAAAACCTTCAAGAGAAGTAGAAACCTCACGCAACACCAGATGACTCATAAGAGAGAGAAACCCTACAAATGTAAAGAGTGTGGCAAAGCCTTTACTACACATGCTGTGCTTACTCAACACCAAATAGTTCACACTGGGGAGAACCCCTACAAATGTAAAGACTGTGGGAAAGCCTTTAAATATAACTCATCCCTGACTCAGCACGAGGTCATTCATACTGAAGCAAAACCCTACAGATGTCAGGAATGTGGCAAAGCCTTCAAGAGAAGTCACTCCCTGAGTCAGCATCAGATAATTCATAAAGGAGAGAAACCACACAAGTGTAAAGAGTGTGGCAAGGCCTTTAGTAAGCAGTCATCTCTTACTCAACACCAAGTAATTCACACCGGAGAGAAACCCTATCAATGTAAAGAGTGTGGGAGAGCCTTCAGATATCAGTCAACCCTGACGCGACACCAGGTTGTTCACACTGGGGCAAAGCCCTACAAGTGTGAAGAGTGTGGCAAAGCCTTCAACAATAGCTCAACTCTTAGTCGACACCAGATCATTCACACGGGAGAGAAGCCCTACAAATGTCAGGAGTGCAGCAGAGCCTTTTACTGTTCCTCCTTCTTGATCCAGCATATGAAAATCCATTTTGAAGAGATGCCCTATAGATGCAAAGAGTGTGGTAAACCCTTTAGACTCTCCTCACAGCTGATTCGGCACCAGAGAATCCATACCGGAGAGGAACCCTACATATGTAAAGATTGTGGCAGAACCTTCAAATACCACTCAAACCTGACTCGACACCAAATACTTCATACTGGAGCAAAGCCTTACCAGTGTGAAGAGTGTGGCAAAGCCTTCAACAATAGCTCAACCCTTGCTCGACACCTGATCATGCACACGGGAGAGAGACCCTACACATGTCATGAGTGCGGCAGAGCCTTTTACTGTTCCTCATATTTGATCCAGCATATGAAAATCCATTTTGAAGAGATGCCCTATAGATGCAAAGAGTGTGGTAAACCCTTTAAGTGTTCTTCACAGCTGATTCGACACCAGAGAATCCATAGTGGAGAGAAACCCTTCATATGTAAGGAATGTGGCAAAGCCTTCAACTGTACTTCATACTTGACTAAGCATCAGAGAATCCATACTGGAGAGAAACCCTACGTGTGTAAAGAGTGTGGCAAAGCCTTTAATTGTTCTTCCTATCTTTCTAAACATCAGAGAATTCATATTGGAGACAGACTCTATAAATGTAAAGAATGCGGCAAAGCCTATTACTTTTCTTCACAGCTTAACCGACATCAGAGAATTCATACCGGAGAGAAACCCTACATATGTAAAGAATGCGGCAAAGCCTTCAACTGTTCTTCGTATCTTAATAAGCATCTGCAAATCCATATTGTAGAAAAGCCCTATGTATGCAAAGAGTGTGGCAAAGCTTTTAGCTGTCCTTCATACCTTAAAAAACACCAGAGAATTCATACTGGAGATAAGTTTTACAAATGTAAGGAGTGTGACAAAGCCTATTACTTTTCCTCCCAGCTTAATCAGCACCAGAGAATTCATACCAGAGAGCAACCCTACCAGTGTAAAGAGTGCGGCAAAGCCTTCCTTTCTTCTTCCAGCCTGAAGCGGCACCAGGAAACTCATATGCTGGTGAAACCCAGCAGTGTGTAGAATTTGGCAAAGCCTCAGTAGTAACCTATTTGTCACTAGGTATTTCATAAAAGAGAAAAACCCTAGACATGCAGTCCAAGACTTTAACAACTGCTGAAACTTTAGTTCACACCAAAAAGCTCCTACATGAGGGAGACACTACAAGTGTGTGGAGTGTGGGGGAACCTTTAACAGGTGTGTAGCGGTTATTCCATACTAAACAGTCCACAGTGGAGAACAGCTTACAGATATGCTAATGTGGCCTGGCCCTTGACCACAGCTCTTCCTTATTGGACAGTAACAAATTCATGTTGGAAAGAGCACTGTCCTATGTGTAACCCTCAGAAGAGTCTAATACTATACCGTAAATCCCCTCATAAAATAACAAATTTAACAAAGCTTTCACTAATACCTCAAATCTTTTTTTAAAGACAGCCCATACCTCAATAAATCTTGATGTACATAAAGAATTAGCACAGAACAGAAATCTTATGGCTTTGTAGCATAATTTTGAACTTCTGCTTATCATTAATGAAGTGGAAAGAAATGCATCACAGGTGTCAGAGTTATTTGAACTCATCTCCGAAAAGATGGAATTTCTTATACATTAAAATATACTAAATAACTTCACTGTTAAAAACTGCACAAGGCTTGGCCTCGTGTCATTTTAGCAGAAGAATAAGGCTGCGTTCTGAGAAGTTTTTTTTTTTTTTTTTTTTTTTTCTCAAGACAGGGTCTCTCTGTGTAGCTTTGTGCCTTTCCTGGAACTTGCTTTGGAGACCAGGCTGGCCTTGAACTCACAGAAGTCCGCCTGGCTCTGCCTCCCCAGTGCTGGGATTAAAGGCGTGCGCCACCACCGCCTGGCGGCGTTCTGAGAAGTTTTAAACTGTTTTCTCCAGAGAGCATATAATGGATTTTGAAAAACTGTATATTCTGTATAAACTTTATTTTAGTACATACATGGAGTGGATGGTTCTTGTTGCCTCTGATATGTATTGCTTGACATGTTAATTTGTTACAGAGAGTAGATCACCATATTGATCTACTCTTATGTACAGTAAGATCTTATTGATCTTACTGTTATGTACATAACAGATCTTAGTAATATTTTGTTGAGGAATAGTGAATGACTGCTAATTCTTTTTTTATTTTATTAAATTTTCTATTCATTTTACATAACAACCACAGATCCCCCTCTCCTCCCTCCTCCCGCCCCCCAGCCTTGCCCCCAACCCACCTCCCCTCCCACCTCCTCCAAGGCAAGGTCTCCCATGGGGAGTCAGCAGAGCCTGGTACATTCAGTTGACGCAGGTCTAAGCCCCTCCTCCCTACACCAAGGCTGCGAAAGGTGTATGACTGCTAATTCTTGTTCTCAGTGTCCTTATCCTTCAAATAGATGTATAGATTTGAAGATTTATTTGTATATGATATTTTAATCCATCCTTTTTTCACTTACCCAGAAATTATGAGGGATGTGAAAGTATAATAAATTGCTCTAGCTTTCTGAATATTAAGCTATTTATAATTTTTTTGTCATATGGTTTTTATCCATACATCACCCCTTAGTTATACAAAGAACACAGAAATGTTGGTATTCATTTGTGTTGCCTGCAACATACAAATCACAATCTAATGATAAACTTTAGGAGTAAGACTACAGCGATACCATATGTTCATGGATAATTAAGAATAAAAGGAAATTATAGAAACCAAAAATAATTTTAAGGGAGTTGATCATTTATGGCAAGGTAGACACCTTGTGTTTTGGGGAGTGGGTGGGTGAGAATAAAGTCCATTTTATCTAAATGGAACTTATTTAAACACTTCATGCTTCTTTGTTTAGAATAGTTACTTCCTGGTTCTACTTCTCTTAGTCATAAAAGACATATGAATTGAAGTTTATGACTCTGTTTCTGTGACTATTTGTTGGTTGTGACTGTCTTCTGAGCCATCAACCAGAACTTCAGGAGTTCAACTGTGCCTGCTTGCAAAGGATCATCGCAGCTGGGGTTGTTGACTGATCCCTCACAGGAGAGGGGTGCTCATGGGACCCTCCTCTGACTTTACAGCACTCCATACCATCTGTTGTGTGCGGTTTTGCCCTAATTACATGTGGCCTCGGGGAAGGCCTTGGGCATATAGACCAAGGAAGAATGGAGGAGGAACTTCATCTGTGTTGCTGTGGGAAAGCCTTTCATAACTTCTGGGTAAAGACTTTCTGGCACAGCCTTTTGGGTAGGGAGAAACACCCATGCCATAAATAACCCCTTACCTATTCTCTGTACGTAAGCCCAATAAACTCTGGTTCTCCAGAGTGACCTTGGGACGGAACAATACCTCTTATTGTTGTTGGGACTTTATGAGATGAGATAGATGTTTACATCCTCCCTCTGGGAAGGAATTTTAGCAACACTTGGTGTAACTGGCAGAATACGACAAAATTCAAGGATGCTTTTGGGAAGAGTAATGTGTTGTGCCTGATAGGAAAAGTGAGACAACCAAAATGAAGTGTGTGTGTGTATGTGTGTGTGTGTGTGTGTGTGTGTGTGTGTGTGTGTGTGTGTGTGTGTAGAGAAAATTTTGGCATGGTGGTTTGCCTCTACAGGGCTGTGGGGGTAGTGGTGGGAGATGGACGATGCTGAGCAGGGTGGTGAGACATGTAACTAAGGTGAGACACCTGGGGTCCTCCCTGGGGGTCTGGAGAAGCTTTAAGAACAGTTGGAGGGTTCGAGTTGTGTTGACTAGTCTATGTCAACTTGATGCAAGCTAGAGTCACCTGGGGAGAGGGAACCTCCGTTTAGAAGATGCCCCCCACCAGGCCTACCAGATTGGCCTGTGTATGTTTTCTTGATTGATGATTGATGTGGGAGGAGCTAGCACACTGGGCAGCGCCACCCCTGGGATGGTGGTCCTGGGTGCTATAAGAAAGCAGGTTGAGTTTGAGGCTAGCCTGGTCTACAGAGAGAGTTCCAGGACAGTCAGGGCTACACAGAGAAACCTTGTCTTGAAAAACAACAACAATAACAAAACCCAAAAAAAGAGAGCAGGCTGAGCAAGTCATGGGGGATGCAAGCCCGTAATCAGCTCCCCTCCATGGCCTCAGCATCAGTGCCTTCATTGAGTTCCACCAATCTGCATAAATGATTGCTCTCAACCTTTCCGGTAGATTCTAGGAAGCTGCTTTCTATTGCTGTTTGCTGCTTTCGGCAAATGATACACATGCATCATCTGTGTCAGGGGCTTTGAAGAGTACATCACTTAAAATTACAGCTATGCATTTAGCTTGTATTGTAACAGTTGATTATATGGGAAATCCAAGGCAAGTAGGGTTGATGGTTACATTTTTCTCTTGAAGGCAGGTTGAACAAACAGTTTGAGTGCACAGGAGGCTCGCTGTCTTGAGTGACTTCAAGGTGTATTATTAACTCTGGCTGTGAGGTCCAGAAAAAGTGCCAGTCTTTAAGGATGTAAGAGATATTTTCCGAATATTGCATCGCCAGTCTCCAAAAGCAGTACCACATGCCAAGTTTATCCACTAGCTTGGGATGGACTCTTCACCATTTTGACTACAAGTGCAGTAGCTTTTCTATGCTTTCTAGGGTCAGAAAACTCCTTGGATCCTTCCCTTTCACAGATTAAGTGGTATCCCTGAGGGTCCTCTTCCTATCTGTCTGATGCAGAGCAGGCCATTTCTCGCTAATGGTCCTAATGTCCCATCTTTGTGTTTTATTGCTGTGAAGAGACACCATGACCATGGCAACTCATAAAGGAAAACAGTTAATTGGGGGTGGCTTACAGTTCAGAGGTTTAGTCCATTGTCATCATGGCGGGAAGCATGGTGGCATGCAGGCAGACATGGTGCTGGAGAAGGAGCTGAGAGTTCTGCATTTGGATCCACAGGCAGCAGGAAGAGACAGTGAGCCGCTGGGCCTGGCTTGAGCATCTGAAACCTCAAAGCCCACCCCCCAGTGACACACTTCGGCCAACAAGGCCACACCTACTCCAACAAGGACACATACCTTGATAGTGCCACTCCCTGTGAGCCTATGGGGGCCATTTTCATTCAAACTTCTACATCTCCTTAATGATGGCTGCCTCTTGCATCACATGGCTTCACTGTATTCTAAAGCTTCCTCCTTCCCCTTTCCTATCCAAGCTGCACATTTTTTTTTTTGTTTTGTTTTGTTTTTCAAGACAGGGTTTCTCTGTGTAGCGTTGGAGCCTGTCCTGGAACTCACTCTGTAGCTCAGGCTGGCCTCGAACTCACAGAGATCCACTTGCCTCTGCCTCCCGAGTGCTGGGATTAAAGGCGTGCGCCACCACCGCCCAGCAGCACATTTTGTGTTTACTTTGCCCCCCCCCTTGCTCTTTTTCACTGAAGATTTGCATAAGAGTAATCAGTAATGACCCTACCACAGACTCCTCGGCATGTTGTCTTGAAATTTCCCCTGCAAAAGGAATTAGGCCATTCCTCTCTAATGTGGCCTCACGGATTATCAGGGCCAGGACAGAGTGGTCAGATTCTTTGCCAAGATATCATACAAATAGCCGCCAGCCCAACTGTTAATAGAGTCCTTGTTTCCCCTGCAATGTCACGGGCTGGGTCTCCACTGTCTGCATTATTCTCAGTACTTCTGTCTCCCAGACTCCTACTAAAACAGTTAGTAGGTTCTTCATACAGCGTTCAACTACTTTTCTAATCCAAAGTTCCCGAGTCTCCCACATTTCTTCAAACAAAACAAAACAAATAGGGCTGGAGAGATGGCTCAGAGGTTAAGAGCACTGACTGCTCTTCCAGAGGTCCTGAGTTCAATTCCCAGCAACCACATGGTGGCTCACAACCATCTGTAACGAGATCTAGTGCCCTCTTCTGGCCTGCAGTCATACATGCAGACAGAACACTGTATACATAATAAATAAATAAATCTTTAAAAAAAACAAATAAAGACAAAACCAAAGCAAGAACAGAAAACAAACAATTGCAATCGGTTTCTTCATAGCAACAAGGTGGCAACAAGGTGGCACCAACTGAGCATGGCAATCCGACATCGGTGCATTGTAATGACATAATGGAGCTTTCTCATGCACAGTAGAGTATTGTTCCCCATTTCAATTCTGTGACATCATAAAGAGAGTTGTCATGCCGAAGAGGAGCCCTGTGATATTAAAATCTGGCATTATGTCACACCACCAATGGAGCATTGTGATGCCAGAGCTCAGCTTATTCCAGTGGAAAATTTGATATCACAATGAAAAATTGTCCTGCCACAATGCAACACTGTGAGGTTATAAGTCAACATGGTGATGTTGCAGGGGAACATTGTAGTGTCACAAGGAGTCTTTGTGATGGCACACTGCATCATCATGGTGTCATAATTCAGAATTTTTGTTATAGTTCAGTATTGTCATGACAAAAGCTGAACATTGTGATGACATGATTCAGCTTTACTACGGAAACATAAACTCTAGTAATGGCACAATGGAATAGTGTAATGTCACAGTCCAGCAACACTGTGATGTCAAATTTCAATGTTTTTCATGATAAAATAGAGCAATGTGAAGCCACAATTCGGAACGATGATGTCACAATGCAGCATTGTCATGTCTGCCAGGAGGCAGCAGGTACATCTCAGCGGAGTACTTCAGTGTTACATCACAAAACAGCATTGTGAGAGCACAAAGTGGAGGAGGAAAGGCCGCTGGGCTGTGAACACAGGTTTGCTTTGGAAACGTGAGAAGGTCTCTCATCAGATGTGAGAGCACACCTTTCTCTTTCAGGCTGGGGTTTTTATCAGAGCTGGGGAGAAGGTTGTCAAAAGGGTTGAGGTCCAGGTCAGCCAGGCAGTGTTAATAATTCAATAGGATGTGCAGGGATGGTATTAGCAGTGTTGACTTAAGGAAATTAACTTTGGGACGTTGAAACGGTTAGCCACAGTAAGGGCTATGGAGTAATCCGCAATGGAGTTTACCGGAGATGGGGTGCTATTCTGGCTGGTGTGGGGGTGCCTCTAAGTTGTGTTCTTGTTCTCTCACAAGTGAGCTAGCTATATGATGGCACAAAGGGCATTTCCATGGCACAGCGAGGCATCGTGATCAAATACAGCAGCGTGACATTTACAATTCAACATCGTGTCATCGAAATTCAGCATTGAACCGGCTCAGCAGAGCACCGTGATGGCACAATGTGGCATTGTGAAGCCACAATTCCGCATCAGGTTAGCACAACTGACTATTGCGGTGTCAAAATTCAGCACTGGGATGTCACAATGGAGCTTCGAACAATTTAACGTTGCAGCCTGGTGATGACATATGGCAGAAATAGTGATAGGCTACAGCTCGGATGCCTAAATTCGGGTTTGTGAAGACATAATATAGGATTATCATGTCAAAATTCAGCACTGTGATGGAACAGTGGAACAGTATCATGTCATTATTAGCACAAAGGGGCATTGATCTGGAATCATTTAGCGCTAAGATGATGTCACAGTTCAGCATTATCACGGCACAAGGGAGTATTGTGATGGCCAAAGAATGCTCTTGTGGCATAATGGAACATTATTAAGGACACTGCAGCGAAGTGATGTCGAAGTCCATCACTGTGACATCATAAACAGCATTGTGGTGGCGAAATGGAGCATGGGGATAGCACAATTGATCCCTAGAGGGTCCCGGTGTGTCTTAGTTAAGGTTACCATTGCTGTGATGAAACACCATGACCAAAGCAACTTAGGGAGGAAAGGGTTTATTCTGCTTCTGCTTCCATATCACAGTTCATCATCAAAGGAAGGCAGGACAGGAACTCAAACGGCAGGAACCAGGAGGCAGGAGCTGATGCAGAGGCAGATTCTCAATTGAGGCTCCCTCCTCTCTGATGGTTTTAGCTTGTGTTGATTGACGTAAAAGCAGCCAGTACACAGTGCAATAGTGTGTTATCATGATGGCGTATTGTGGTGTCACAATGGAGCATTGATATAATGGAGCATTGATATAATGGAGCATTGATATAATGGAGCATAGTGATGGCATGATGGAGTATTGTGGTGGAATAATGTAACATTTTATGTATGACCACTGTGCTGGCTAGTTTTATATCGACACAAACTAGAGTCGCTGGAGAGGAAGGAGCCTTATTTGAGAAAATGCCTCAATAAGATTGGGCTATAGGCAGGCCTGCAGGGCATTTTCTTAATTAGTGATTGATCGGGGAGGGGCTAGTGCATTGTGGGTGGGGACATCCCGGGCTGGTGGTCCTAGGTTCTATAAGAAAGCAGGCTGAGCAATCTGTGAGAAGCAAGCCAGTAAGCAGCTCCCCTCTGTGGCCTT